GACCTGAAACTATAAAAATACTAGAAGCGCACACAAGCAGTGAGGTCTCTGACATCAACCATAGCAATATTTTTCTAAATATGTCTTTTGAGACAAGGGAAATAAAAGCAAAAATGAACTATTGGGACTTCATCAAGATAAAAAGCATTTGCACAGCAAAGGAAACAATAACGAAAACTAAAAGGCAGCCTACAGTACAAATGAAGATATTTGCAAACAACATATCTGATAAAGAGTTAGTATCCCAAATCTATAAAGAATTTATCAAATCCAACATCCAAAAAACAAATAACCGAATGAAGAAATGGGCAAAAGATATGAATAGACACTTTTGCAAAGAAGACATACAGATGGCTAACAAACACATGAAAAGATGCTCAACATTACTCATTATCAGGGAAATACAAGTCAAAATCATATTGAGATACCACCTCATACCTAAAATGGACAACTCAGGAAACAACAGATATTGACAAGGATGCACAGAAAGGGGATCCCTTGTGCACTGCTGGTAGGAATGCAAACTGATGCAGCCACTCTGCAAATTAGTATGGAGGTTCCTCAAAAAATTAAAATTAGAACTACTCCATGACCCAGCAATTGTACTACTAGGTATTTATGCAAAAGATATAAAAATGCAGACTCTAAGAAGCACATGCACCACAGTGTTTATAGCAGTGCTATCTACAATAGCCAGAGTATGGAAAGAGTCCAAATGTCAATCGACTGATGAATGGATACAGAAGATGTGGTGTATATACATACAATGGAGTATTACTTGGTGATCAAAAGGAATGAAATCTTGCCATTTACAACTACATGGATGGAACTAGAGTGTATTATGCTAAGTGAAATAAGTCAGTCAGAGAAAGACAAATATCATATGATATCACTCATATGTGGAATTTAAGAAACAAAATAGGTGAACATAGGGGAAGGGGAGAAAAATAAGATAAAAACAGAGAGGGTGGCAAACCATAGAGACTCTTAAATACAGAGAACAAACTGAGAGTTGCTGGAGGGGTGTTGGTTGGGGGGATGGGCTAAATGGGTGATAGGTATTAAGGAGGGCACTTGTTAGGGTGAGCATTGGGTATTTTATGTAAGTGATGAATCATTGAATTCTACTCCTGAAATAATTATTACACTATATGTTAAATAACTGGATTTAAATAAAATTTAAAAATTAAAAAAAAATTCAGTTAAGAAATGGGCAGAAGACATGAACAGACACTATTTCCAAAGAAGACACCCTGATGGCTTACAGACACATGAAAAGATGCTCAACATCACTCTACATCAGGGCAATACAAATCAAAACCACGATGAGATACCACCCTACACCTGTCAGAATGGTTAACATTAATAACACAGGAAACAGGTGTTGGTTAGAATGTAGAGAAAGGGGAACCCTCTTGAACTGCTGGTGGGAATACAAACTAGTGCAGTCACTCTGGAGAACTGTATGGAGGTTCCTCAAAAAGTTAAAAATAGAACTACCCTATGATCCTGCAATTGCACTATTAGGTATTTACCTGAAGAATACAAAAATATAGATTCAAAGGGGTACATGCACCTCAATGTTATAGCAGCATTATCAACAATAACCTAACTATGGAAAGAGCCTAAATGTCCATCAACTATTAAGTGGATAAAGAAGAGATGGTGTGTGTGTGTGTGTGTGTGTGTGTG